CTATCCTATTTAATATTAATATACAATATAAAGTAGCAAAAATTTTAAGTTTTAAATATTTACAAATTGAAAAAAATTCAATAGGATTATTAAATCTCCAAATAAAAATGATTTTCAAGAACATATTATAAATTATATATTAATATAATAATAAATTTATATTTTTATGATTTAAGATTAAAAATTATTTATGTTACTTTAATTGTTTTTTTTATTGTAATTTTTTCTTTTCACTTACTTTTTTTTTTACCAAATTTTATTTTAACAAATCAATACTATTATTTATTCTTTAGTTACTTTACTTATTTCTTTTATCACAAATTATTTTATATTGTCTTATTTCAACTAAGTCAATATAGGTTTATAAGATTTACACTTTATTATAAATTATAGTATTAATAATATTAAGTAAATAGTAATTATTAAAAATTTTCTTATTACTTATTTACTAGGTAACAGGAACTGTTAGAGCGTCTGAAGCATATTAAAATCAGTGATACATGATTATTATTATTAATTTAATGCTATTATTATTATTTTAACAGTTACACCTGATCTCAAAATTTCATTGGATAATAAACGTGTACAGACAGACAGAATTATCATTGATATGTAGTCTAACCGTAAGTGTCCTACGCATACGCTTTGGACAATTATTGATTTTGAATTTAACAAATTTATTCTTATCTATTATCATTAATAAAATTTTAAGAATTAGAAATGTTTATATTAAAATTAATAATGCTATTTGAAATCTATTATAATATGTAGTTTAAAATTTAGAAACTTTTTCAAAACCTTTAAAATGACTTTTATTAAATTTAAATCTTAATAAAACTTAGGAAAACCTATTAGAAGTTTAGGTAAAATATTTATTATAACTAAACAGTTTAATTTCAAATATCTTGAAACTCAAATTTTCTAAAAATAGTTTAGAAAAGCACCTTTAGTTAAAATATTAAACACTTATATATATATAATAACAGTTAAAAATATTATATCACCTGAACACAAATTTTAAAATTACAATAAATATCTTATGATTAAGAAGATGCAGTATTACAAATCTTAATTAAAGGATTATATTCTATTTTATTAATTTATACAATCTTTTTTAGGTTAATTATTATTTTCTTTCGTAAAGTATAAAATATACAAATTTGAAGATACATTTATTGTAACCATTTTTTTAAATAAACATTAAATATACTTAATATGACTATTTTTTTAGTTTAAACATTTATGTAAAAAATATAAAAGGATGCCTTTAGGCATTTTTTTTTCTTTTTAATTTTAAAAAAATACTGATAATTTATTTATTTTCTGAAAAAAAAACTAGTATTTTTATTTTATTTAAAGAGGAATATTGTTATAATGGCAATTAAATTATTATGCATTGTTGCAGGATAATTTTAGCAAGAAAATGTGGCAAAGTAAATAGTCAACATGTTTCACTAAATTGATCTACTAAAGAAATTACACAAGCAATTACACAGAATTGATCTACTGAATGATCTACAAATTGATCTACATGTATTATGTGATATTCTTGATATTATTGATATAATTGATATTAATGACATTATTGACATTAATAACATTATTAACATTGTTGACATAGTTAGTATAATAAATATAATTTTTTATTTAATATAATTTATTTATTGTTATATGTAATTGAAAAGATATAAATACAATAGATTTTAGAACTTGTAGAAAGTAGGAAGTTAGATTTCCTCTAGCCCAGTGCTAATGTTCTCATTATTCTCTATTTTATTTTATTTTCTCTTTTTAATAAACATATTTTTATCTTTAATTAAGTGTTCTTTAATTAAATGGATCTACAATTATTCTAATGAATTTAATAAGCTACCTATAAAAAAAACAACACTCAAACACCTCGTTTAACTGTAACGATCCACCAAAATCGCACATTAACAGCATGTGTTATAATAATATTTTTAATAAAAATTAATTAAATTAGTATTAGTAACTCTAATTGTATTGTTTGTATTATTTGTTTAATAAAGTTAATAATTTTAAAGATCAGTATAGGCCAAATTGATTACTTAGTAAGTTGACTATAGGACAAATTGACCTCTGATCTAATTGATGACTAATCTAAATGATCTCTAGTCAATTTGCTCTCTAGGCAAATTGTTCCTTCAAAAATAATATATAAAAAGGATGAGTTGATGTTTGGGTTAGAAAAAGTAGTACATATAATTATATCTTTAATAAAATATAATTTCTCTAATATTTCCTTATTTTGATATTTTTAATGGTTGTAGTAATTTTGTAAGAGAAACATTTAATAAAATTAACTCTATAAAGTATAAAACGCTGATATTTGAGATAGTACTGATTTATTAGTTTTTATTAAATAATTTTTGCATAATTATTATATAATTAAAATTCTTCTGCTATATTATACTTTCGGTTATAAATATAAATTCTAAAGAACTAAATGCAATAATATCCTTTTCATTATATTACTTTTAAAGAAAATGATTTTCAATTTAAGAATTAAGCAATAAAAAAATACTAATGATACCTTTAAAAACCAGCCAAAATCTTGATGTTTTAGATACCTGACAGGTTAAAATAAATGAAATTTTTTGTGGTTTATTTTATCAGAAAAATATGCAAATGCAGATGCAATTCAAAAAAAGCTAAAAATTGAAGACAAAATTGAGGTTAGTGAAAGTATCTTACATCAAAATGGATTAAGCTTAAAAATTAAATGTAAAAAACCTTAATTTCAAAAAAGTTTGCTCATAAAATTTGCAAAAAAATATTAAATATGAATAGTAAAGGATTGGAATAAATTTATCTGATCAGATGAATCAAAATTTATGATTTATGGAACAGATGGTAGAGAATATTGTTGGAAAAAAACAATATAAACTATTATGTGATTATCATATTATACTAACAGTCAAATTTGGGTAGGGTAATATTATTGGTGTGAGAATGTTTTACTTCTGGAGGTTAATTTTTATTATTAAGCCAAATTTGTGCATATGATTAAGATTAGCCAAGTGGTCTAATAATATAAATTTAGACCAAAATTTAGATTTTTCCCTTTTCTACTGACCGCCTCCCATATGCCAAATTTATGGACATATGAATGGCGATTTATATCATCAAATTTTGAAGGAAGACCTTTTATGAGCCATTGAGTAGCATGGAATAGATAAAGGTAATATTATCTTTCAGCCTACTGCAAATCTTACTAAGCAATGGTTTGAGAACAATAGGCTTAATTGGCCAGCACAGTCCCTGACTTAACCCGATCACCTTTGGAAATGAAATGGACCGTCATCTGAGATGGCTTGAAATACCTGTTAGAACACAGGATAATTTGTGGGATGCAATTCAGGGTTGAATTGGAGTCCAACTCGTATAAATGATGTAATAAAGGTAATGGCGGTTATACGAAATGGTAAATAATAATTTACCAAAGTTTTAGTTTTAATGTAAATTTTTAAATGTTTTTTTTTTTATATAAAAAATTTAATATATCGGTCAAAAGAAAAGCATCACATAGTTTACATTAAATAATATTTTTTATTGATTTTATTAGTGTGCAATAATTTTTATATCACTAAAAGACTGTAAGTTAATTATAAGTGATTTATTTAAACAAATTATCGTGATAAAATGACATCATCATTGAGATTTAAAGTTTTTCGGATTAGATCAAAATTTTTGTAGCACATCAACATTTAAGTTAAGGGGTGCCAAATAATTTTCTTTCGATCTCTTTATGCCCTTTCCTTCATATTTAATTTTATAAATGTCTACCAGAAAGAATGCATTAATATTAGGTGCAACAGGTATTATTATAAATTCGTTTTATAATTTTATAACAATAATCTTTTTTTTTTTTACCAAAAAAAAAATATAATAAAGATATATATAATTATGTGGTAGGTGCGGTTGGAAAAACTCTCTTAAAAGATTTGTTAAATTGTGAATATTTTAAGAGTATTACTTCGACTGGACGCAGAGAATTTGCTTATGATGATCCCAACAAAGAATCTTTGGTATATAAAAGCAAACTCGGGTTATTTCGTGTAAAAAATATGTGTTATATATATATATTAACAATTATAATGATAGATTCAAAAAGTTGTTGACTTTGAAAAGTTAGATGAACATAAAGATGCATTTGTCGGATATGAGTAAGTGAATTAGTTGTCTTCGATATAAGATATTAATATCAAAACTTTCGAATTTTTTTTCTTTTTTTTTTTTAAAAAAAAATTCAAAGCACAGTATTTTGTACGTTGGGTACGACTAAAGCTCAGGCAGGATCCGAGGAAAATTTCGTAAAAATCGATAAAGATTATGTCTTAAATTCCGCAAAACTCGTTAAAGAACAAAACCCCAATAGGGAAATTCATTATCTTTATTGTTCATCAAAGGGTGCCAATGCTAATTCACCTTTTCTTTATTTAAAGACCAAAGGTGAAATTGAAAATGGGTTAAAAGAAATTGGATTTAAGAAATTGAGTATATTTAGACCTGGAAGCTTGAGAATAAATGAACAAAGAGATCAAGGACGTAGAAGACTTGAGGAGATTTCATTGAAAATTATTAGTGTTGTGGAGATGGTTGTTCCCAAAAAAATAAGTGTACATGTAGATATTGTTGGAAAAGGTAACCGTGAAAAAAAATTTTTGTTTTTATTTGACCTTATTGTTTTTTCCTTTGAAATTTGAATTATAATGAAAAGAATTTTCTTTTTATAGCTATGAAAAGAGTTGCTACAAATGAAGCAAATGTCGAAGTGAATAAAACTACCTTGGAAAATGGGACAGTCTTTGAAATTTATGAGCATATGCAAATTCATGAAATAGGTGGCTAATCTAGATAGAAGGATAAGATATATACATATTTTTAACAACAATTATATAACTTTTTAAAATGCAAAATTTAAATTTATTAAATTATTATAATTGAAAAATTTTTTGTGGATGGTTAAATAATTTGTTTTAAGGAAAGAACAGTGATGCAAGATCAACTTCGTCATAAAAATCATCATCTAATATAGGAACATCAGGAAGTATATTATTAATAATATTAACATTTACTCCATCATCATCGGGTTCTTTCTTCCTTTCCTCCCATCGTTTTAGATATTCACTAAATATGGCCTAAAAAAAATTTATCGAATAAGTTGAAAACTTAATCGAAAAAACAAAAAAGAAAGAAAAAAAAGTTATCCTTTAAAACCACATTTCACATACCTTTGAGTAGTTATTTATATCAAATAAAAATGGCTTACTACCAAAATTAACTAAAATTCTTTCATCTATAGACCTCATACCGACCATGGGATAATATTCACCTTTAAGGCTCATAAAAGCAGTTCCTAAATGAATTCCATTTATTGTATAAAATGCTGATTGATTTAAATAATTTATTCCACATCCGACTACATCTCCTTTAGAAAAAAGGGGACCATATCTTATTCCTCTTCCACACCAAAATCTATTTCCATCATCTCCATGATATCCATATGAATTCCAATCCCATCCTAATGATAAAGAGGAAGGGAGAATTTTAGGTGAAAATTGGATGTCTTGGGAAAAGAAATAAAAAATATATTTTTTTGATTTTACCTGGTAGTCTGTTCAACGATGCATTTGGTTCAGAAAAACCTATTCCTATATTTCTAAAGATCGTAATTTTCTTTTTTTAAAAAAAATCTATTGCTTCAAAGTTGTAATTAAGAATAAATAAATACTTTTTTTCGCCTTCATCTATTATTTCGATCTCATAATAATATATTCCAATATCTGAAGGTATAGGATTATTTGCTCGAGATGCTGCAGCATCAGATTCATTTCCTGGTCCTGTTTAAAAGTTAATTATTAAATGTTTTTTTTATTTTTAAAAAAATGTTCGTCATAATAAAATACCGCTATATAAGAGGCCTAATTTATCATCAATAATGTCGATATATCTAAAAGAATCATTTTTTTCCCAACAAGTAGGTAACGTTAAATTTTCGATTAATTTATTTTTTAATACTAATAATGGACTGTGACTTATGTAAGAACGGATATAGGGTAATGATGAATAGGTCATTTTATTTTATTTTATTTTATTTTTTTTCGAGAAAAAGTTTAAAATTTTGAAAAAAGAGTTTGATCCTACAAAATTTAGTATTTATAATTCATTCTTAATGCTGAGCACCGGAATTACAGTACTACGCCGTAATTGTTTTAATTGTATTGTGTGTCCAAGAAAAAGAAAAAAAACTTGGATTTTTGTGTGACGAGGATTCTTAAAAATGCTGCGGTAAACATATTACGTAGCTACAAGACTAGTTACGTAAAGAAGTTTCCGTATATGGAACGAAAGGCGTGCGAATATTTGACCCAATAAAGGTTGATGTCTTACAATTGACATCTTTTTTAAGATGTCACACGAAAAAAAAATATATCCTATTTATTGGCTGATTTTCTTGTGTAAATGTATCACCATAAAATTCGCTCCGATGATCGAAAAAATTTTGAGTCTAACTCTGTTTTTTACCACATGTATAGATGTTATGTTGTGTAACGGATATTTCTGCGGAAAATAACAAATACATGTTCTGCCAATGGGACGTCATAACTACAACATCTGGTAGTACAGTAACTTTTTTGTCACACCTTCTGTCAGCCTCCTGCGTCTCTGGCAAATCAAAGTTTTTTTTCAACGACCCCAATTTTACGAAATGCATATTAACTAAAAATTTTGAGTAGGACATGAAATTATAACTATAAGGGTATTATGAGATGATTAAATTTGAAACGAAACATAATTGCCGAGTGAATCTGTTAATATTTTATTTTTATTTTGAGATTAATGTTTTAATATCATTGATTTCCCCTAGAATCAGTTTACGAATATTTGTAGACAAAGCAAGACAAAGCAAGCTTGGATATGACGAATCTTCCTCGTCTTTCTATACGTGCAAAAGTAACATGCATAATCTAAGATGAAATTTGTTTGTTAAACACGACTTACTAATTGATATTATCGTATGGTCAACCAATATCACGTTGTACAAATATGAATTACATCATAATTTAGTAATGACAATGGTTCGCGTGAATTTGGTGCAGATTCATATTCATTTATTATATTATTATTAGTGAAGTAAAATCTCCAGCTTTTTTTTTTTATTAAAAACGTACTTGATCATTCAAATGTTAATTATATTTAATGAGTTGACCGTGTAAAAAAAATAAAAATAAAAATCAATCTAAAAATAATCCGATCGACCGTGCAACACACTTTTAATTTAATTTTTTCGTCTTTAAGGCAAAATTAATCATAATGATGATAGCCAATCAAAACGGCAAAATTTATAATACTGTTTTTCGTTTTGTTACTTTCAAATAAATAATTGATAATTCGCTGTTTACGCAGCAATGCAACATTAAAAATTGAATTTTTAATTCCCCAAAAATGATAATAATTTCGAAAAGTATTGTGTAATCACATATACGTAATGATTTACTTGAATTTGGTTAGATTGTAGAAATTCCAGAAAATTAATTAATTTTTTTATATGTGAGTAATTTATACACTACCTAATTATCTTAAGTATAAAAACTCACGATTTTTTGAATTATTTGTAATCTTCACCTGTCGTCAAATATATAATCAACGATGGGTTTATTTGGAAAGAAAACTTTACCTATTCCTCCTGCACCTCCTGCGCCTTATCATACGCTACCTATTAACCAGGTAGTCGAACATACAAAAACTGATCCTGACGATGGTCTTGCAACAAGCGAAGCTTCTCACAGGCTTGATTTATACGGGTTCAATGAATTATCAGGACAAGGGAATGTCAGCGCCCTTGCTGTTTTATTCAGACAAGTAGCAAATGCTTTGATGTTAGTCTTGGTTATTGCAATGATAATTTCATTTGTATTTGAGGATTACGTGGAAGGAGGTTCGTCTAATTATGAAAGTAAATTTCTTCTAAAAAACAGAATATTTAAGTTTTCATTTTGATAGGCGTCATTGCTTTTGTTGCTGTATCAAATGCATTAATTGGATTTGCCCAAGAGTTTCGTGCTGAGAAAACTATGGAATCTTTGCGTAGAATGGCTTCTCCAACTACAAAAGTTATAAGGAGCGATTCATTGATATCCGTTCCGACAAGAGATGTTGTAGTCGTAAGTTATTTGATTCAAGTTTAAAATTAAATCCATCGTATGGGCCTTTATTAAGTCTACCCGTAAAAGGCGAAGATTTACGGGTCTCTTTACCACAAAAAATGTCATCATCGTAACTGGGTAGGAAGTGGGCATGATAAAAAACATGAAACAAATATATACATCAATCATTTTTATTTGTTTTATTAGGGTGATGTTATCGTTTTCGAAGAAGGAGATGTCATCGGTGCGGATGCTCGCCTTTTTGAAGTACTTAATTTAGAAGTGGACGAAGCATTATTGACGGGAGAATCTGTTCCTGTTTCTAAATCGTATGTATATCAATATATATATACATTATATATATATTTATAAAAACTTGGGATTAATACTTTTTCATATCGTTAACTTTTTCCTTTAGAATTGACGCAATTCAAGAACATGAAAAACCCCTGGGTGATCGCGTAAATATGGTATTTTCAAGTACAACAGTAACGAAAGGACGTGGTAAAGGTATTGCTGTTAATACTGCCATGGGAACCGAAATTGGTAAAATTGCGAAAACCTTGGCATCTACTTCTGTGGCATCACGAACTCCCTTGCAGAAAAGGTAAATAGAACACTTTGTTGATTATTATTATCTTGATTATGTTTATTTTATGATTTTAATATATTCAAATTCTTTAAAGAATGGATATGCTTGCTTATGCGTTATTCGGAGTTTCGATCATTTTAGCGGTAATTGTATTTAGTGTAAATAAATGGAAAGTAAACGATGATGTTGCTATTTACGCTATTTCAGTTGGTATTGCTGTCATTCCCGAAGGTCTTGTTGCAGTGGCAAGTTTTCAACATTTAAATATAAAAAAAAAAAGAATTTCAACATTGTTTATTTTATTTTATAAAAATTAATATTATATGACGCCTTTTAGATTACACTAACCATGGCTCTTGGTGTTCGACAAATGGCTAAAAATAATGCTATAGTTCGTAAATTAAATGCCTTGGAAGCTTTAGGATCAGTTACAAATATTTGTTCGGATAAGACCGGAACACTTACGCAAAGTAAAATGATTGCAACTAATGTTTGGCTTCCGGGTGATGGCTTTTATGGAATTTCAGGTAGAAAAGGGTTTAATCCTGAAGGAAATATTTATCGATATGGAGAAAGTGTGGACGGATCTTCTGAAAATGCCGAAGGAACTTCGGAAATTGTTGAAAGTTCAGAAGAAAAGCAATTTAAAGGCGAAGAAGTCACTCCTGACAATATGAGATATGCTCTTACACGTTTAGTTCAAGCATCAGCACTTTGTAATATGTCCGTCATTAGAAAGGGTAAAGGTCATGACGAATGGCATGGAATTGGGGACCCAACTGAGGTAAATACTAATAATATATGATAAGAATTTGGATTTTTTTTTTAATGTTGAAATATATTTTTTTTTTATGTTGTTCGTCTAGTCTGCTCTTCAAGTTTTCGCTCATAAAGCGGGATTACCAAAACCAGTTCTTACAGCAGATCCATTTAAATTCACGATAGTTAGCGAATATCAATTCGACACTGTACTTAAGCGTATGTCTATCGTATGTAGAGAACAGGATACGGATACTCATTATGTATACCTTAAGGGTGCAACAGAATCCGTTTTAAGCCAATGTACGAGAATTCAACTTGGTGATGATATCGCAAATCTCGATCTTGAAAATTTTAAATCAGAATTGTACGATCAATTGGAAAAACTTGCAAATAGGGGATTGGTAATTATAATTTCTCTTGTATTCTTTTTTTTTAAAAAAAAAAACCGTTGATTTGTTGGTTAATTTTTCTATGATATATAGCGTGTATTATCACTAGCGTATCGTCAAGTTACAAAGACGGACGTTGAAATTTCAAAGTGGACCCGTGACCAAGCTGAATCTGAAATGATATACTTAGGTTTGGTAGGTATTTATGATCCACCACGCCCAGAATCCAAGATTGCTGTTCAAAGATGTTTCGGTGCCGGAATTGAAGTTCATATGTTAACTGGTACTTAATATTCTTTTTTTTATTTTGTTTATTATTTCGTTTTTTTTTTTTATTAAAAAAAGAAATATTTAATTCCAATAATATTTTATATATTCAGGTGATCATCCATCCACTGCTGCTGCTATTGCGAAAGAGATTGGTATCCTTCCTCCTTCATGGTCTTTTGACTTAGCAGCTGAAGATAAACACAATCCACTACTTGTAATGAATGCCACACAATTTGATGCATTTTCAGATGATGAAATTGATAAACTCAGTGAACTCCCAAAAGTTATTGCTAGATGTAGTCCTGATACGAAAGTGAAAATGATTGATGCATTGCATCGACGAAATAAATATGTCGCCATGACTGGTGATGGTGTAAACGGTAAATTTTAACTTGGATATGGATATTTTTATAAGTTACAATTGATTTTCTTTAATAAAATAATTTTCTATTAGATTCACCTAGTTTAAAGAAAGCTGATATCGGGATTGCTATGGGATTAGGTGGTAGTGACGTAGCCAAACAAGCTAGTGATATCGTACTTACTGATGATAATTTTGCCACGATAGTCGATGCTATTTCTGAAGGACGTAGAATTTTCAGTAATATTCAAAAATTCATTTTACATCTATTAAGTGGTAAGTTATTAAGAAATTGATGGTTATTTATTGTTCAATATTTGTTAACAACAAAAAATTTCTCCTTTTTTCTTTTAAAAAAGGAAATGTTTCTGAAATTGTTGCTCTAATTATTGGACTATCTTTTATTGATAACACTGGCATATCAATTAATCCTATGTCACCGTTGCAAATTCTTTTTTTAAATATGGTTACAAGTTCACCACCTGCCATGGGATTAGGGATTGAACGTGCATCTAAAGACATTATGAATTATCCACCTCGTATCAAAGGTGGACTCTTCTCATGGGAAATAATAGTAGATACGATTTATTACGGAGTAATAGCCGGTGGTTTGACTTTAGTAAATTTTAGCATTGTATTATATGGCGAAGGTGATGGTAATCTTGGAGAGCGATGCAATTCATCACCGGAGCCTAGCTGTGAATCAGGTGATGCTAGTTGTAATGCTGAGACTTTAAAAAAAGCGTGTCATTTAGTTTATCGCGCTAGGGCTGCTTCATTTGCCACATTAACTTGCATTTTATTAATTCATGCATATAATTGTCGGTCGTTGAGAAATCCTATTTGGACAATGAAATTATATGATAATAAATTATTATTTTGGTCTGTATTTGGTGGTTTCTTAACAGCCATCCCAACCTTTTATATACCTGGGTAAGTAAATATACATATACATTTATTTATATTATATATTAAAAATATTTCTAATATCTAATAATTTCACTAATTTATTAGAATGAATACAATAGTATTCAGACAATTAGGCATTGGATATGAATGGGGATTAATATTTGGAGCTGTGATATTTTTTGAAATATTTGTTGAAGTTTATAAGCATATTAAAAGAAGAAAATTGAAGCCATTAACACTTGTTGGAGGAGAAGGATTGCGAAAACAATATTCCGTTAATGAATTAGAATAATAAATAAAATTGGCAAGTCCACTTTATTGGTCACGTGACGTCCGCTATTAAAATCATATGTCCATTTTGTATTACCTTACATAGTTTTTACCTGATTACAAAAACATTTGTACCACATGCATGCATGAAGAATTTGGGCGTATATTATGCACATCTTAAACTCTATCGTTTTTAATTATTCTTTCTTCTTTACAACATGAGACTAATAATTTTTTCGCGTAAAGTCAAACTAGTATTATCATTTATATCAGCATTATTGATATCATCAGTGTGTGGTTCACAATACTTATTTTCTGCTTATAGCACATCAATTGCTGATAAATTGGGTTTTACTTCGGTACAAATAAATACAATTGGAAGTTCAGCGAATTATGGAGTATATTTATTCACGCCAATCTTCGGATATCTTGTTGATCATTATTCATCAAGATTGTAAGCAAAAAAAAAAAAATACAAATCTAAAATTATTGATATTACCGTCATGAATTTAATTGAAATTAATTTATTTTTTTTAGAATACCAATGATTGCATCAGTTACTATATTTACGGGATATTTTTGTATGGCGATGACTTATCAAAGATATTTTAAATCAAAATCGATTATCTTATGTGCTCTTTATATGTTTCTTACCGGGGTGGCTTCTGCTGCAGCATACTTTGCATCATTGAGTACAATCGTCTGTATCTATAATTTTGATATTTGTATTATTTTAATCATTTTATTAATAGAAAAAAAACTCTTAATTATAGGTCACAAATTTTAAATCATATCGTGGGATAGCACTTGGATCACCAGTAGCATTATTTGGATTAACAGCATTTATATTTTCGCAAATTAATTCGTTATTTTTCAAAGGAGATACATATAATTTCTTATTATTTGTAGCGATTTCAACAGGATCAATAATGTTTATTGGAAGTATATTTTTGATCAAGTTGCCATCAGAAGGTGAATCAGATGAAGAAATTTTATCAATTCCATCAACGTCATCACCATCATCAACGGTCATTAATCAAAGAGATGATGATGAAAACGTTCCTTTATTACCTTCCGAGCAACAACGAAAAAATGAAGAGCCGGATGTCGGAGGGTGGGAATTATTTCAAGATATTGAAGCAATTTCAATCTGTTTTACAAAGCTTTTAATTGCAGGTGTAGGATTAATGTACATTAATAATGTGGGAGCAATAATTAAAACACTTTATTCATCAACTCACGAAGATTCTACAAAAGAAATTCAAGAAATTCAAAATTTGCACGTCGCATTAATATCGATATCCTCTTGTTTAGGTCGTATTAGTGTAGGATTAATATCAGATTTAGCGAAGTATAATCATAACGTGGGAAGAATATGGTTTTTATTGGTTGCCTGTTTGTATATGTTTGTTGGACAATTCTTGGTTGCATTTATTATTAACGATTTAAGTAAATTGTGGATGGGTACTATTTTAATCGGATTCGGATATGGTAATACTTTTGGTATTATCACTACCATCACTTCTGAATGGTTTGGTAGTAAACGCTTTGGTTTAAATTGGTGAGCTATATATGTTATTTTTTTCCTTTTTTTTGTACAAAGTTAATTAAGTCAATTGCTTTTACATTGCATTAGCGGAATAATGTCTTTGGTAAGTTATCAAATATTTTAATCAAACTTGTTTTATTCGTTGCAGGTTAAGTGTTCAAAGGATTAATTGGATCCATGAAATCACCCGTTCATTAAAAAAAATACTGATTTTTTTTTATTTTATTTTAATAATCTAAAAAAAAAAAAGTTTCCGGCGTTTGGAGGACAATTCTTCAATTTTATATTTGGATATAATTTTGATTACCATAAAAAAAATCAATGCTATGGTCAAAACTGTTATAGTACTGCTTTTTACGTTACTGCAACTGGTAGCATGCTTGGGATTTGTATTGTTTCAAGTTCGATATTGCGACAATCTAGAAAATATGGAACATTTTGGAATGTTAATTAAGTATAATTTTATACATTTTTAAAAATTTAAAATGAACGATTATTTGTAAATTTATTTTGATAAAATAAAATAAAAAGATTTAAAAGGAATCGATATTTTTTGTATGTTGATCGACATAATATTTGTAACACAGTCATTGTGAAGCTCCCCGTTCAATAACATCACCATAAATAACCAAAAAAAAAAATTTTTGTTCGATTGATTTCTTCTCATTCACTTTTTATGTACAAGTACATGCATATTTATAGAATATGCGAGATTTAATTTACCCCTATAAGGAAGAATAAGAAGATTAATTCAATATAGATGATCTTTTTCTCCACATTTAAAAATATAATATCATGCAATATAACATACTCATTTACAAATGACTTCTAAATAAAAAAAGAAACTTCATAATTTTGAATGATTTAATAATTTTCAATTGAAATGGCGTAAATCATTCTTGTTTTAAACAAGATTTTTGAAATCTCAGAAATCTTGAAATTCCCTTGTACACTTCGATCTTGGTTTTGGAATTTCGAGAAATCCCTTCACATTTATTATAAATAAACTGTGAAAATTAAGTAAAAAAAGATATCGAAACAAGTAAAATCAAGAAGAAAAAAAAATATTGAAAAATGCATTTGTTCACATTATTAACGTTACTCAGTTATTTCTTCGGCGCAGTAATTGCCCAAGTTCCTATATACACTTTTCCAATTCAAACCAAAAATTATTATGTTAGCGGTGGGAATGGAGTTCAAATTTTTGTCGAAGAAAAGGGGAATCCTGAGAAGACTACGATCGTGTTCACAAGTGGGTATTTGGGAACGCGTATTAGCTGGGATCCACAATGGACTGATTCATACCTTAGCAAGGAATTTCATCTCGTTAGGTGGGATTGTCGAGGACTTGGTCGAAGTGATAAACCAAATGATTACTCTCTCAAGTTACACAGTGATGACCTTGCAGCCGTAGTAGCTAATGTTAAATCGAATAAATCGAACAAGAAGATCGTCTTGGTTGGATGGTCTTATGGGTCACCAATTTCTCTCACATTTATGCAAAATTATCCTGAATTTGAAGTACAAGGATTTGTTTCGGTTTCGGGACTCGTTAATTTCAAATTTGAAATGAAAAAAGAACTTGCGGATGTGTTTCCTGCATTGATGGGTAGTGATGATTTTGCAACAATTACTTCCACATTATCTAAAGTTTATAGTAATATTGCTGCTAAACCTACTTCTGATGAACTCTTCTATCTTATGCTCGGTCAAGCTTCTACCGTTTCTAACGGATATCGCAAAACTAATATCTTTGGTAAAGATTCAAATATTTTATCAATTTTTTTTTGTATAATGTTTATTTTAACATGAACTAATTAAGGAAAAATTGATTTTTCTCTTTTAATTAGATCAAACAATTGATTTAAGTAATTTCTTTAGTAGTCTAAATATTCCAACCTTAAATATCATTGGCGATCAAGATCAACTTGTACCGCTTGATTATAGTTTATATTACGCAGGTCTCGCTAAATATGGAAGAAAAATTATTTACGAAGAGTGTGGACATATCGCGCCATGGGAATATACAAAGGAATTTAATAAGGACATCTCGGAATTCGCGTCCAAAATATAGAAGAATAAATACCGAACGTTTACGAAATGTTTTTTTTAAAAAAATTCTTATTATACAATTGTCATATCATATATAATAATTCAATAAATAAAATTAGTAAATATTTTTAAATTTTAAATTTTGAAGATTGAAAAAAAGAACCTGCCCCTTTACTATTGTTTTGTAACAACCAAATGCACGCGATTTAAAAAGTTTTTATTTTAGGCAATGTTTTGAAACGTGTTATGATTAATTTGTTGTTACAAGTAGGAATTTAAAAAGAAGTTGATTTCCCGAATAAATCCGAATAATAGATGTCGTGAAACTCGTGTTTAAAAAAAAAACATAAACATTCGTCCACATGAACATGTTCCTAAATGATTAAGGTTCGCAGATGAAACTGACCCAGAAAGTAAAAAAATATTAAAACGTTGGTTTTGGCACAACCCTTGTAGTTTGAATTTTTTTTTAAAAAGTTTCAAAGATTTGAAACGGTTGGGATCATCGTCTGAACAATAGTACCACCTTCTCAGATTCTATTGTTTGAATATTTTTAGAACATCGTTAATCAGTTGAGGCGCAGAATCAAAGTTTGATTGTCCAATAATTTGACGACATTTGCTTATCACAGGAAAAACTTGGAGTAGGTTTAAGGTAAATATTATTCACCTAATAAAAACAATCCTAATCAAAAAGGTTTGGAAATTTCACTTAAGAGGAGATACTTTTTAATATGATATGAATGAACGTTTAAATGGTAATAATGGCAACAGTTATTTCGGCATCCAATATTAGAAATGAGCGACTTGCTATAGTTTCGGTGGGTATATAAATACTCGCGAAAGTTTTCAACTAAAAATTCCAACAAACATTCGAACAAAAGAAAACATCAATAAATCCACAAACAAAAAGGCAAACAAAAAAAGCAAAAGAATTTTAAAAACCTTTCATAATATTTTAACACTTGATTTTTCAATACAAGTCCATTCATCGAATTCTCGTCATCCAAATCAAAAAAAAAAAATTTTTTTTTCTTTTTCTAAAAAAAAATTCAAAAATGTATTTAAACCGCTCTACCTCATTAGAACATTCGTCCATTGATGGAATGCCGATCAAATACCTCATTCAAAAGTTACGCAAAGACGGGCCCGAAAAATTCAACAATCCATCAACCGCAGAATTTGAATTACATGTAGAGGGTGTTGATAGACCATTTTGGGTACATAAAGATTTCCTTATCTCGCAATCCGAATTCTTCAACGAAAATCTTACCGCTGTAAGGCCTGGTGATCTTGTGAAGATTGTCCTACCATCACCCGAAACTTTTGAATCGATTCTTGAATATTTGTATACTGGAGATGATGACAAATGGTATGATACTATAACTCCCGATAATTATCAAGATATTTGTAACAACATTGATTTTCTCGGTTTGGGTAGTGAAATAAGGAACATTTGTATAGCTTATTATCAAAATAACGGGAATGCTTAATTAAAACGTTAGGTTAAAATCAGATAAAAAGTATAGTTTTGCATATTACACGGCATTTTATTCATCAAAATTTTTTTTTTAGTTTTCCATATTATATATTTAATTTTCACGAACGTTGAAACATTTCATTAGTAAAAAATTTTTTCTTCTTTCTTTACATTTATTTTTATTTTATTTTTTCTTATTATTTTCTTTCATTGTTGTTATTTACTAAAGATTTTGCAATAAACATCTATAAAATATATTCTCATATACAATGTCACGTAATGTTGACTTTGATGAACATTAAAATAATTAAAATACATTAAAAAAACCGCAAAATTCCAATTTATTAGAGATAAATCTAACCGAATTTTTCCAGATATGAAAAGGACGAATTTATAAGAAATATATTTATTTTTCTGAAATATTAAAATGCTACAGATGGAAATGAATTTTAAACAAAAAAAGAAACCTGAATAATTTAGAGTTATTCCTAATAAGTATCAAATTACTTAAATGATTAGTTACATTTCGCGCGTTGTTTAAAAGATCTTGTTTCTTAGAAATTTCCTTCTAGCTTTCCCGATCGTTAAATATTAATCTTTTATTTTTTATAGAAATCGCGCAGTTTGGTTTTTTTATCAATATCGTGACTTTAGATGAAGGAAATTTCATTGATACCCTGTAATACTTTATTTTTTTCTTGCCGATAACAACATTTGACGTCAATTGATCTGCCGAAGTTATTTTATTGTACAAACCATTTCCAAATAAAACTATCGTTAGCTTTCGTTTGCTTTTGATAATTCACCGTATCACATTAACAATTTCTTTGTTCAGGAAAGAAATTCATCCGGAAATTTTTATTTGTTTTTTGGGGAAAATAAGGTTTAGATCAAAATTTTTCCATAATTATATTTAAAATAAATTGTAATTTGGTCTCTAAAAAGGTAAAAAAAGTTTAAATTTTAAGGTAAATTTGTATGAAAAAATAATTCATATTTACTGTGACTTCTTTATTGCTAGAACAAAAATTCATATTTTCAAATAAATAATGTACATAATTTAATAAATAATAATATAAATAATATATAACTACACATTTTTAAATGTCTTTATAATACAAATTGAAATTATGCTATAAAACACATTTCTAAAGTGATCCATTTAAATTAAAAAAAAATTTTTTTATATCAGTATTTATGCGGAGTAGGTTTCTGACCAAGAACTAGTTTCATTATCGCATAATGAATCTGAAAAAGGTATAATTTTTAAAAAGAATTATCATTTATCATTTGATCTAATCAAACGTTCGAAATCTTTAAATCGTTTGTATATATCCCATCCTTATTCTCATTCTGAATTAAAAAAAAATAAAACATGATAGTAAATTGAATGAAAACTAATAAATCACAATTTATCTACTATATTTTTTCCTCCGAGCCATAATCGACGGTCTCTTGCTCTGTAATTGCTGTGTTTTCTGTTTATAAAATCATAAAGTTAATATCATATCAAAGAAATAAACATAATTTTTTTTTTTAATAAAAAAAAAAATACCTGAATTTCATTAATAATAAACGTATAACTGTAATATGCATTCGACACTAACAGGGAGCAGGGAAATAATTTATTAACCATTCCTTCTTTAATGTCACTTCCCCACAAGTTCAAAGTGATATCCAAGAAATATGTACTTAAATTTTGATTTTCTATATCGGAATCAACCAATAAAAATCTATAAATAAATCTTTTTAACGCAAGGGCAAATGCTTTGGCGGGAATAAGTTGTTGTTGACCTTGACTTTCTTGTCCAAAATTTACAAAGTTTTGAATTGAAACTTCCATTGGTCTTGTCAATGGAATTTTAAATTTATCATCAATATCATCAATTATTGAATCAGAAATTTCATTATCATCAATTATTGAATAATCAGCTTCAATCTTGTCAATTGTCGAATTAGCAGCGGCTTCAATCTTATTAATCATTGAATTAGCAACTTGCTCTTCGATTAATTCATATAATACTACAATATGCTTCAAAGAAAATTTTTCAAATATCTCAATGAAGGCATTATTTGTATTTGATAACCTTTCTAAATTTGTTAAATTTGCCAACTTTAACCATCGATTAATAAAATCTATAATTGACATATCATGATTGTTCATCGATAATTCTTTTATGAAACTAAAAATGATTTCGAAAAGAAAAGATAATTCAGATAAATGTTTTAAATCCAACGAATTATTCAGAATAAAAGAATTTGTCGGTTGAAACAATTGTAAAACTAATGCTAATTTTTCATTTGAAATCGGTTCCTGTGGTAATATTTTCTTGATGTCAAAAAGTATCCTCAGAGAATTTTGAAACAATTCATGTTTAAACGAAAATTCTTTTAAATAAATTTGATCATCATCTTTTTCAAAATAAACCTTTTCATGAACTAATTCTTTGACGAGTATTTCTTCAATCTTTTGCAAATCAAACGTAAAGTTTAATTCCTTATTTTCAAAGTTTCTTTGATTATATTTTAAAATGTTTGGATTCCATTCATAATTGATAAAATTAATTTCTTTTGCTTGGGTCACTTTAACGGATTTGACGTAATAGGTTCTAGAATCAGTGTTATTATTCCACGTTCGTTCCATGAACTTAAGATTTTTACATTGCCCAACCGGAATAGCCAATACGTTATCCAAAAATTCATTATGTAAATTGATCAAGAATTCTAAAATTGCACTCAAGTAGATTCCCAAGTCCTTCTGCTCAAATAAACCATAAATAACGGGAAGTTCAAGATTCATGAATGGTTTCTCAAGAGGTAATCTCTTGGATTGATATTGAGTAATATAATCAATGACGGAATTCCAACCCAGTGCAAATCCTTCAAAGAAAGATCTTAAATTTTCATCATTTTCATTTAATCCCATTTCAACAAATTCATTAAATGTCATGATTTGGGCCGCTTTTCTGGTTAAGTTAAATTCAAGTTTAAGGTTTAAAATTTTTACAAATCTGATGATCGGGTGAATGTGCTTAATTAATTTAAATTTCTCATAATTATTAAAATAAACTGATAAGAATGGATATTTATCTAAATTTTGAGTAAAGTCACAATTATAAAAATTGTAAAACTCTTCAAAGTCTACTTTCCTGATTGACTTCCAAAATCTTGGAAGACAAGTTATTTTCTTATCATTGTTATTTTCAATCCATGGAAATTCACTTTTTAATTTATCAATATCTACTACACTTATTCGTTGTTGAATAAATATAAAATAGGTTTTAAAGGATTGAATAAACGAGTTATTAATTTTCATAAAGATATTTATTTCTTTGATTAACGTTCCAATCATATTATTATCTTCTTGCATATAATTCTTCCAGAATTTATATGCGAATTCCTTTAGAAATGCTGTTGCGATTACTTGATGCATTGCGGAAAGTTGTTGACATTCCGTAAAAGTTCCAATAAAATGTATGAAATAAGGTTTCAAATCATTTAATTCAAGTCCATTGAAAAATGGCTGAATGAGTTCACAGCAAATTTCCGTCAAATCGGAGTTTTTTATATCAAGACAACTATTAATTACTTTCAATCTACTTGAAGCTTGCTCGGGATCCTTAATTAGTGTAAGAAATATTCCTTCACGTTCTTGATGTTCAGTGATAAATATTTCCTTGACTATTACGCTAATTAATTGAAAAGGTACTCGCGAAAATAATAAATTATAAAGGAGCAGCCGAACTTCAGATTCTAGGGGAATCATTTCAAGACACCTCATAATAAAAGATCTAATATTGTTCAAATCATCATCGTCACTTTCATCCAAACAGTTAAATACTAATTCGATGATATCCGCCGTAATAAACTCTTGCCTAATGACAGATTTCCCCAAATAAATCATTTCTTTGATCTTTTCTGATGGGAACGAATTGATTTTTAATAAATCATTGCATGAAAGTAATAATAATAGATTTCTTTCTTTACTCTGATCAGCTAACGACAAAATCATTTCTAAATCTTGTTGATATGGCTTATCATTGCATATTTGTTGTAGTACAATATTAATGCCCTCTCGAAAAAGATCTTGACCAAGGGTGCCATAAACAATGAAATCTTCTTGAACTTTTGTGATGATGGTCGGGAAGGTTTCGATCAATCGTAATTGGGTTAAAATATTGTCCGACCATTTCCACCAGTAGATATGAAGTAGAAAAGGATTATGGACGATTTTATCACCAATGATATGCCTAAAAATTAAATCTAAATCTTTGGTGCAGTCTAACTCGCTCGTAGAATAAGTTGATAATACTATCTTGATAAAATCATTATAATATAATTCTGAATCAGTTTGTAGGTGCTCAAAATATAGCTTAACGGAAAGCAAGTTATTCTCAAAATCTTCAATATGATCCTCGATCGCCTTTTCATCCAAATCTCCAGTTTCATTAATATTTTCTAAATCGTTTCTTAGTATATCAAGCTCTTCAAAATAGTAACCTTTATAGAAATTAATCTGATTCATAAAATAATATGAAAAAGGAAATTCTAGATCAGTAACTTGGGAGCTTGTCATTATATAACCGGAGGGTTTCGGTTCAGGCAAGTTATCAATATTGACAATTGTATTGTCCATAAAAAAATTAATCCATAAATTTTTCAAGTCTTTTTTCGTCTCGGACTCTTCGTTATCAATAGTGAAAAATATCATTGTTGCCGAAAACTTTTCTAGTGAATATAAGATTTTTGCTATCGTTTGTCTAACAATTACCTTCACGTAATTTTGTAAGGCTAGCGAAAAACACGTAAATTGGTTGAAATGATCCTTGTTAATAGCTACTTCGGATTGCCAATCTTCATAATTTTCACAAATCCAATTAAAGGTTTTAACCTTGATGCATTCAATAAAATTCACGTTATTCAAAATCTTTTCACTTAACAAACTAAACAAAAGGGGTTGTGAAAAAAATTATAATGTTAACATTTTTTTTTTTTAAAAAAAAAAAAAAAAAAAAAAAAAAAGAATAAATAAATTACCTGATGTGAGTATGATAATTTTCATTAAAGAGTTGATACTTTATACATGATAAACACCATAATAATTCATCTTGCAAGATCTTTTCAAATGGCATTGAAGAATTAACTATTTTACCAAAGAGTTCCGAATTTAAGATCTCATATATAGATTTATCCAAAAGATCTGTTAATGACACATTCTGTCGTTCCAAAGAATCAATTGTAACTTGCTTCCAATCGCCCATAAAATTAGACTTTATATGCTCATTCCGTTGAATATGAAATATGATGCATACATGTTTCATAGGCGTAACCGTCTGTTCTGTATTTGCTAAAAATTCATTTCGCAATTGCTCAATAATGTATCTTGTCAACTTAATGCATTTTGTGTTAACGATTGTAGCATCGCATTGGAAAAATAATACTTGGTCGGTTGATTTAAAAAAGAAATCTTTGACTACATTCGAAAGTTGGTCTTCGGTCTTGAAAATCGATAATTTATACACTTGACATCTTATAAAGTCACGTAAACAAGAATTTACATCCGTATTAATTTTAGAAAAGGTATGAACAATTACTAAATGTTTTGCAGCTAACGATCCCGTTAATAATGATTCAAAATAGTCGCGGAGAGAATCATGAACTTGTTGATGAAAATAAAAAAACTTCAACATAATAATTTCATCTTGTTCCATAATTGATTTTTCAGCTCTTATAATTCCATCCGACGTTGCTGTAGAAATTAAGCTGTCCTTACATTTTTCTAAAATCCCTTTATCATCATCAGAATTATTCTTTGTAATATTTAATACTAAACTCTGTAAAGTTACGTCCTCATCAAATCCAACGAAGAGATCCTTTTGTGAAAATTCATTAGGAATTTGATCCTTTGTATGACCTTCAAAAGTGGTCATTCGTTTGGTCCAATCTTTTAATTGTAGAACAAGTGATTGTTGTCGAACGTCAAGGACATCACTAATAGACAACTTTTGCTTTTCAAATCGATTGAGAAGTGATGGATCAGCTAAATGTGATTTCTTCTCATCCATTACAAGAATGCATTTGAATTTTGGGGAAACGTAACTATAAGATATAAGCTGATAATTAGTATATTTAGAATGGTAACTTTCTATAACTTAATTATAACTTACAGAATAGGATTAGCGCATGCTCCAAGCGCAACATGTGTCAACCGATTGGCGTTTTCATTATCCCCTATAACGATATAATTCTGATTCCATAAATCATAAAGATTTTCTACATGAAATATAGTGATAATTTGATATTATAACGCGTCAAGAAAAAAAAAAAAAAATAAGATAGAAATAAGTTTTACCATAAATCATTTCTAAATCTGTAAGAATTAGTGGTCTTCCTGTTTCTATACACACCTAAATAGTAAATGATGCTAAATATAATGTAATTAAATAATTAAATAGAAGCAATAATAGTTAATACTTACCATGATTCTTCTTAAAACATTATATGAATAATCTTCACAATCGTTGGGAAATTGTGATCCTATAATTACAACGGGATCCAATTTTTTTCGCTTTAATTGATCAGTTAACAAGCTTATAATTGATTCGTCTTTACCAATGACCATCAAATGACGCGCATTTGGATCGTCTAAATTTGACTCGATTAATTTTGATATTGGTATTGGTTTATACGTCCATGAGTTATTATTATTAAATGTCTTAAAAACGTCTCCAAAATCTTTTTCACATAATTTGGCGATGCATTTCCCTCCAAAATTACGAGCCAATGCCATTTGAAAACTTTCTGGTGTCATCTTGGCTAATGAAAGTTGCCTGACCAACGAATAAAAATCTCGATGACCATGAAAATTAAGAAATTGATAACCATAATACTTCGAATATGCTTTAGCCAGGGGTTCTATAATATTTTTCTGACTAGCATCAAGAGCCTGGGTATTCAATAAGTGCTCGGTAGTATCTATCAAGTCGTCTGAATCGAGTTGGGGTCTAAAAAAGAAATTTAAAATATTTAAATAATTAAATAATTAAATAATGAATTGAAAACAATTTTCGAACTTACGTTTGTACAAGTATCGCTCGACTACTTTTACTAATATTTAAGCACAAGTTTGATAATCCAATAAATGAAACAGCTGGTCCAGTTGCTGGATAACTTGGTTCAAGCAAATGATGAAGTATTTTTAACGGTTTCTTAACACTTGCTTCAACAAATTCAACTAACGCGAAAAAAAAAATTATAAATAAATGAATGTAAAAGAATTTAAATAAATTCATATATACCATTATCAAGCAAAACTACGCTGATAACCGGAGATTGACTGGAGCTTGTTTCTTGATATTTCTTTGCCGTTTCAAAAACATTATGAATTCCGTCTGAAGTTGAACTCGAAGAACATAAATATGGAATTGTATAAACCTATTTACACATAAAAATTCATTGATTAAATATAATGTTGATGATACTAATCTCAATAAAGGTTCGCACTTACCCTTGGCAACTTTTTGAAATATTCATCATTTGATTCGGATCCACGTAGATTTGAATTTATTAGATGAATGGCTAAAGATTTAGAAGAACTTTTTGTTCCGATATAAAAATTTAGTGAAATATTATAATTATTATTATTGTTGTTGTTATTATTAGTACATACCCTGTTTCTCCGATAATGAATATAGGAATTTTAGTCAAAATGCATACAATCAAAGCTAATACATTTTCTAGTAACGCTTCATGTATTGCCATATTAGAAGGGCACCGCATCCTATTAATATAATTTTCTTGCTCTTCATGAACAATTCTAACAAATACGTTTTCTCCCACATAAATATTGTGGGTTTGAAAAATTTGACCCATTTCGTAACGATAGTGTTTACGTAAATCATGATCATATAATCTAGATTGGTAACAAATACTAAGTGATAAAACATGACATCTAGTGATGGTAGTTGGACTACCAAATGATGGATATACATGACCCTCTTTGTAAGCTGGACGATTCTCGAGAGAGTTATAAAAGAATTTCACCAATGTTATAGCTCGCTTAACATCACGCAAGCTAACACGATAAGGCTCTTCGACTTTACGAATGAAATTCTGAGAAGCGAATACGAGATCAGTAAATAAGGAATGCCCCATTTCTTTTAATTCTCTTTCAACCATAATTTTGATATAATTGTATTCATCATCTGGTTTCAAAATATTATAATCCAACACATAATCCAAAACTTTATCGGGAAGTGGGCTGACTTGATACACTAATAGGCTTTGTTCTTCGTAGTTTTTATGTTTTTGAGCTAATGTAAGAAGACGGAATGGATGACATGTAGAGAATAAACGAATATTTGGATGCAGAGGCTTGCCTTGAAACATTCTATTAGATATTAAATCTGAAAGTAAACCTAAATGTCTACATGAGTTAATCTCATCAAATAATAACCAAATTTCTCCTTTTATTGCATCTTTTAAAGCATCTAGCACAAAGCTCGTAATAGTTTCTTCGTCAATTCCGCAATGAAGATTAATTGCTTGGAATTGAACTTCAGCCAACCTAGCTAGATAAGTGATTAAGCTTGTCTAATTATAATAAAAACGTAAAAAATTAATTTGAATTTAAAAAATAAATAAAAAAAAAAATATCTTTATTTATTTACCTTGCCACATCCCGCTTCACCGCAGATCACTATTGGAATGTTCACTCGTACTCTTAAAAGAATTAGCGCCATCTTTATCAGATTATCACTAGTTAATGTATATTCGGGTAGGTTTAACTCTTGCGTTGAACTACGAGCTATGCCTTCTAGCTTCATTAAGAGTGCATCCGTTGACATTTTATTGTAATCACATATTTCTGGATCACAAATCACTTGACTCTCTAATAGTAATTTGATATTATCAGGAACTTTATTTTTGTCATGATATAATACAGTACAAAAATCCGAAGCTTGGAAATTCGGAAATGCTATAACGTAATTAATATTTGAATTTGTTTCAAAGAAAGAACTTTCATCGTTGATCATTAGAGGTGATGCCTTCATCTTTATAGATTTGGTTGCGAAATCTTTCGAAACATCTATAAATGATTTAAGTATGGTTGATCTGATGCTAGTAGTATCTTTCAACTTTAGCTTAAGATTATCAATCGTAAAATATTGACTTGATGACAATCTAATCAATTGATCCGCTAAAACGCTAACAAAAATTTCTATGTATCTAAATGATAATATTCTTTTCTCATTTGTTTTCAAAAAATATTTTATAATAAGGTTTCGACAATATTCTGCAGACAAGGGATATTTGATCGCCTTTAAGGTAATTTCTTCAGTATCAACTTCCTCACGATCGTACAAGCTTAAATAATGACAAACGATTTGAACTGGACTCGATATTTCCTGAAATACTCTAAAATTTTCAATATTCCAGGATAAATGCTTAGACGACAAATACATCAACGAAGAAAGGGGAGGAACTTTGGATAACGATGAATCTATTTCGATATAAATGGAAGTTTCGGGTATTGAAACCATCACCTTATTATATAATACTATTCGAAATGTTGTTAATTCAAATAAAAATATATTCACGTCTTCGGGACAATTAAAAGGTAGAACATTGATATGTAGACTTTGTGTATGCTTAATTGTGCATTCTTTAAGCTTGTTTACAAGATATCTAAGGTCCATGGAATCATTAATTAAGAAACTATACGGAACTTTTTGTTCGGAAAAACTGGCATCTTTAATCCATTCGGTTTTCCCTTGACCTGATATATCTGAAGAAACGCACATTATATTTGGACACATTTTCTTATATATTTCTTTCATCGTTTCAGCAGCCAAAAGATCAATCTCTTTAAATTCTAGAGAATATTGATCCAAAATATAATTGGGTACTTCTAATTCCTTACAGCATAGAAGTGCCAATAAATATTTCCCACTTATATGTTCCAATTGCATTTTCTCAATATAATTTACCAAACCATATTGTAATTCAAAGTGTAATAATTCTAAATTTGCAATGCAGAAAAGGTGATTACTATATTCATTATTTGCGGCGAGAAAACTTCTTTTAATAAAATTTGTGATATCTTCCATTGTAGTTGAAGTAGTACATATCAATAATTGCCATGGTTCGGGATAATATCCATTATTAGCATACAGCGAGATTATTGCATTTGGAATCAAGGATCTTTCCTTAAATTTTCCTATAAATAATTTACCGTTCGTAACAATATTCGAAATTTCTTTTTTTTGAATGACTTCAAGTTTACGCGATTCTTTTGGAATGTTTTTAAAAATCTTATCTAGTACATTACCAATCTCACAAAGTAACTCAAGTAAATCTTCATGTTCTGGTATTCTTATTTTCCCATGAAGCGGCAATTGAGTTTTGTTGTTCACAAATCTAATTAACGTTATGCACATTTCTTCATTCTCTTTGTCTAATTTTTCCGATGTGAAATAATCGTAGAATGCCCAAAGATGATGAGCGGTGAAGAATGTTAAATAATACCATTTGTTTTGCGCCTGGTTCATTGTACTTTCCCTGTGAAAGTTCCATTCATAAAAATTAAATTGCGTCGAATGTAAAACGCGTAAATAAAATAAAATAAATTAAATTAAAATATTCACCATGTTTCTAAATCATCATTTAAGATTGTAAGGAATTCCTTCATGTCGTCCCTTTTTTCTATTTTCTTTTCGAATTTTCTGTATTTAAAATGTCCTCTTTGTATTAATATTGTAACTAAATCAATTATGTTTTGAATAATGTCGACTAATTCAATGAAGTCATTTATATTGGCGATGGCGTTTGAATTTGATATTAAAAGAGCTTGTTTACGCAGGCCCAACATTTCATCTAGATTATACACTTCTTTAGCTGATGAATGATAATTTAACATTACTATACACTTTTCAATTTTTTCGTCAAATACAAAATTATATGTTCCATTAAAAACGGCATTCTTAACTTTCTCTATAACTATCTGGTCGTGATTCAAAATTTTATGATACATCTCTTGCAATACCATGTTGTTATTGTTACACAAAGCAAGCTGGCTCACTAATGTAGGATTCTTCTCAACCATTAATTGTAAATCGTCCAAAAGAGCAACGGTTTCGATTTTATGGTTGTTTATAAGCGGATAGATATGTTGTCGAACGTGAAGAAATGAAAGAATTGTATCCTCCTGAATCAATCTTTCATCTGAATGATCATCCATCAATAATTTTTTAATGTCATTTTCAGAAATTTTTTTTAAGAAATTCAAAAAATCCTCAGCAATTGAAATTTCTTTTATAAAGTTCCAACAACTTTGATCAAAGTAAAAGGCCTTTTCAATCTTTATAACAAACTCATTCACTTGACAAAGTACCAAGACTTCATCTCGTAATACCCTATTTGATTTTGATATTAGATCATTCCCATCTTGTTGTGTCTGGAAAATTTTTTTTGTTTTCTCTAATTGCTCAAGTCTTTCTATCCACTGAGGTAATTTCCAAAGTTGTTCAAGAGTTTGTAAGAATTTATCATTTCTTCTTAAAAAGCTTAGTTCCTTTAATTTAAATTCAGCGAAATTCTTAGCGTCCTTCCAAAATAATAATGCTTCCGAGTAACTAACATCCTCCCAAGATTTAAACTTTTCACTCATTTCTTTGTAATTTTCAAAGACGATTGGCATTAATTTTTGTGCTATATATTCCACATTTGTTGCTGCGGCATCTTTCTGGAGACAAACCTCAAAAATATTTCGAAATGTTCGAGATTGAATATATTTGTGGCAACGATTTGCACTATCCAACGTTTTCTCATGGAATGACCAATATTCTGATTCCAATACTTGTTTCAACGTAACCTTTCTTAAATTTTGTTCAAGTTTTTGTATATTTTTAATAAAATCATTTGAATCAGTTACTTTGGGGGCTGAACAGAATTCTTGATAAAACCCAGATAATAGATCTATTTGATTTGTATAAACGTTATAATATAAAATTCTGAGTGTGGAGATTTTATCATTAATCGCTTCATCATTCGCGGTACTAAAATGTTTTAATAATATTTCATCGGAATATTCTAAAATTTCTTGCAATAATTGCATGTCTATCGAATAATCTAAAAGGATTCTGTCAAGTTCTGCGATGGATATTTGGATATGCCGAACGTAAGAGTTCGCATGAAGTTTTGCGACGCTTCCGGTGGCGCGGAATATAATGTTCCAAAATTTGCTCGATCTAAGAATTGATAAATGCTGTTCTGAAGGGTTAGTTACGGGCAATTGACTCAAGTAAAACATGATCTGGCACAAGATATCCTCGCATATCCTAGAATTTTTTTTTTTTTTTTTTTTATAAGAGGAAAATTAGAAAAAATTACAGATTATATCTTCATGGAAACTAACGATTATTTACTTAATAAATCAACTTACGTATTTGGAACCTCCAGCGATTCGTCTTTACAATCGCAAATCATAAATATTTCCTTCATTAATTGATCATCAGCTTGCTGAACCATTTTGTTTAATATTTCTTTAACTATTTCGATATATAACCTTTTTACTTCTTGTTCCTTTACCATTATCATGGATTTTGTTGCACCCAGGATGCAGGATTCGGAATAACCCTTCACTTTATCTAAAGCAATGGTTGATAAATCCTTCCAAATAGTTCGATGGGCGAACAAAGGATAGAAACGGTCTAATTGCTGAAATATCGTAAATGTATACTTGCTTTCGTCCGAAGAACTTTTATGTCTAACGTCTAGTTTGTATAAAAGAAGATTAAACCAACTATGACAAATGGTTGACAACTTTGTCTCTTTGATGTCGGTAAAACTTTTAAGGAACCAATCATTCAAAATTTCGGGAAAGACGGTTAATAATTCCAAATTATGAGATTGAGAGATCAATTCTAATGAAGACAAAACATCCTCGTCATTCCAATTTAGATCAGATTGTTGAAAAATTCTTTGTAAGGCAGAGATATCCGAGTCTGACCAACGCCTATCCAAATTTTTTAGTAAAGATAAAACGCGTCTTCGGAACATATAAGAAATGTGATCTCGGAAATCGCTTGGAATTTTCGAAAAGTTGTTCATCAAGTCGTTAGCATGGTTGTTTGAGATAATGTTCTGAACTCGATAGATAAAATATTGAGATATTTGTTTGTTTCTAATTAGGAAAATATCCCACACTTCAAAAAGAATCTCTATGTTCTGACATAATTGTACCAACCACCGAGTAATTTTTATCGTATTTTCAAGTTCGATGTTGTTAATGTTTGGCTTAATTCTTTTCGAAATATTTTTCAATTCTAGATCATTATACCTAACATTTTGTAAATTCTCCAAAAATTCAAATTCCGGATCGATGTCTTTGGCGATTTTAAAAATTACGAGCCAATCTAATCTTAATGCTATAGTTGCATTATGATAAATTAAAGATAAAATGGCCCTGACAATATATTCATTTGCGTCCAAGCATAATATATCTCTTCGATATTCAGCAAGAGCTTCAATTAATACCTCTGATTGGAATTTGGTCGGTAATTTATAAATTCGTTCCCCTGAAATGCTTGGAATGTAATGACCCAATAAAATGCACAAGAAAAGCCTTTGACCAGTTTGTGGATTTTCATCCATCTTTTTGGTTATATATTCATAATTTGAAAATGAAACTGTAAGGTCATGATGAAGGGATAAAATTTTTATAAATTCCGAAGCGCATTCACCTAGGTTATGAATTGTCACATTATCATAAAGATGATCGACAAAAGCATAATCGACAATATTTTGATCGATTGTGTACTTTGGATGATTAATCCAGATGTCGAATTGATTCTTTCCACTCAACGAACGTTTTTCAATACTTTCGAATGATACTTTTTCGTCCTCTAATTGAAAAAATGAGGCTGGAAGATGTATGGCGTAATTATATCGGATCTTTGCATTTGAAAGGGAAAGTGGTTGAGATTTCCAATAAGTAGGATATTTAATAGATGGTCTAAAAAGTTTTACAATTGGATATTTCCAATTTCCCAATTCTTTTCCATCACCGATAACAACTGGCTGTCCAAGTTTTTCAATTTCAATTGGTAAATGAACATGGAATGTATATAATTTATCTTCCATGAGATAGAATTCTATTTCTTTTTCTTTTTGTAGAAAACAATTAGGTTGGGAACTGCTAACTTATTTATTTATATATTTATATATTATAAGATTTTAGCAAAAGCCCACACATCACCTAATCCGTACATTCAATAATCATTAATTTAAGCGATTGTTGATTGCCACATGATAATCTATAATATCTCATTTTAGGAAAAATGAAATCAATGCCGCAGTAACGAATTTTTGGTGCTACCGACGATTTTTATTTTTAGAACAAGAATTTCATGTCATGAACAAAAGAGAATTTCATAGTCAACCAAATCAAGGTTATTTATGGCTTGGCTCTACCTTTTACATGGAACTTGCCCAGTTAAATATGATTCCTTTATAACGGCTTGGGCTATTTTGGATTTGTTGAGAATCATGTCATATAAAAAAAATGAGATGACTATGGCTTTGCTCTAAAAAATGGCTATGCTATTTTACTAAATGGGAATATATATAAAAGAATGGATTTTTTTTTTTGACTAATGAATATTATTCTTCGTGAGTTCAAGGTGTCGAGAATCGCAAAAAAATTTTCCTTTTTTTAATTTTTTTTAAGGAAGAAAAAGTGATTAAGGATAGGAAGTAACGATAACGAATTAATCCAGTAAAAATTTTTACGCATCAATTTTTTTTTTAAAAAAAAAAAAAATATTATAATAAATAATAAAAAAAGAAATGAATATTCGTTTGATTTTGGTGTTTTTAATATTTCTCATCTTTTCAACATCCGTAAATTCACTTCCGGTAAGTTATTCCTCACTTTTTTACTTTACTTTTTTGAAAAATAAAATTAAAATCAAATAAAATAAATAATAGGTTGTTTCTAAGGACAATACACAACATCCAACTGAGGGAGTTGATGATTTATATTGTATTGCAAAAATTTTTACATGTGAGGAACGTTGTAAAGGGCTTTCGCTACCCTATGAAAAACCTTGTGTCATAGATTGTATGGAATTTTGTGAAATACAGGCAATGTATCATCAAACTTGAGAAAAAAAAAGGATACAAAACAAAAAAAATCTTAAATGACAATCTAAGCGAATCAAGTTGGTTAAAAATAATTTTTTTTAATGTGATTAGAGTCGGTTAGAAAAAGGGAAATATGTGTGTGTAGGATGGAAAGACTTTATTTATTCTGATCTTTTTTAGTCCTTGTAATCCAATAAATCACCCTAAAATTATTCTGTATTATATTTAAAGATATATTTTTAATTAAATTAATAATTTCCTGATTAGCAGTGCATTATTGGGAAACGAGAAATTTTAATCTTTTTCGGAAATTTACGATTTATACTTTTTTATCGTTTCACCCTAATAAGTAAATGTAGTACAACACCAAATAAATTTTTAAAGCGCGCGGTAGATCTTTGAAACGCGATTCCTGCCATTCGATTTTTTAATTAATTTAATTAAATATATTAACTGTTATAAAACATTGAATTCTCGCTTAAATTTTCTCGGTTGCACATAGATTGTAATTATATCTTAATCTCGATAGCATGGCATTGCATTTTTTTTAGATATCAAAAAAAAGGAGGGAATTTTATTTGATTTGATTTAGGTGAGTTTAATAAATAAATTTTTTGTTGAAAGTGGACAAAGAACAATTATAATTATACCCGTGATTTATTTATTTTTTTTTTAGTATGTATATATATAAAAGGTTGAGTAAAATTTAAATACAAAAGTTTATATGTAATAGAATTACAGCACTCTAAAAACAATTAGTAACCATCTCTCTCTCTCTATATAATAAATATACATAAAGTTATAATAACAAGAGAAAGTGTCTTTTTTTGTTGTTCAAGATGAAAAGTTATCAAGTTTTTAAAATGCGAAATTAATGAAATAGAGGGGGAAAGAGTAATTCACGATACTTCCAGGTATTGCGAATTCACGTGAAAAAAAAAATGTTCTATATAACAGAATTAAGGATTAATATTTTTTAAAACTTTCCTTGAGATTTATATCCTTGATTATATTGTCCTTGTCCCTGTTCGGGATAATAATACTGATTACTTGGAGGCGCTGCACCTTGATTATATTGTGCATAAGGGTTGTATTGCTGTGGCGGTGGTTGTTGTGGTTGTTGATTGTAATTTGCCGCATTGGCATTATAATCATAAAATTGCTGTCCCACATCCGAAGAAATATTTGATGATGTTTCTGAAGCGTAATAAGGATCATCTGTAACAAGTGTTGAAGGATGTAATCCTCCCGCTCCATCATAACCCTGTTGATTATAATAAGGTGAACTATTTTGACGTTGCAATTGTTGCCTTTGTCTTTCTTGACGTTTCATTCTACGTATTCTTGTACGTTCCCAATCTTCCCAACGTTTCAATGGAACTTTTGATGCGTCAAATTCTCCTTCCTTCTTACCGTGATCATCTCCCTTGGCTTCACCTTCAACCTTTCTGGTTTCACCCCATGAGAAGTCATCAAAATGCCAATATGCATATGTTGGTAAAATTAAATTCCACACGGGTAAGGCCAGTAAATAGATAAACATCCAAGCAATATAAACAAGTTTTCTTGTGGTGAATAAAATTAAAATGGCTGGCAATCCAAGAACGAATCCCAACATCATCAAGGGAATTGCTTCAGAAAAATTGGTAGGTGGTTTTAATATTATGGATACAATTAATGCATATGTTAATAAGATGGCCACCGGAAGAACGACGGTACCGATCAATTCCATGAAAACTACGAATTGCATAGAAAAGCAAAATGTTCCACAAAGATTTCTAACCAATACGAGTTCCAATAAATTGTGAATAGTTGAATTGATCCATCGACGACGTTGAGAGAGCAAAACTTTAAAATCATCAGGTACAACAGTTTTGCAAACAGCCTGCGGACAAAACATCATTTTTCGATGTGGAAAGTTTCGCAACATGAGCGTTGATAAAAATCGATCCTCTCCAAGAAGCAATAGATTCTTTTGATGCAGAGATTCAACTGCGTTTTGAGAATATTCTTGAACAATTTCAGGTTTGGTAATAATTGGGACCCAATCATCATCACCCTTGCGTGCCTTTAGACGGTACATGCAGAAACAACCAGGTAAACAGGTAACACCACCAAACACGGACTCAAAACCTTTACCCAAATGATGAGAGATATAATATTCAAAGACTTGGATGGATGTCACCCATGAATCTCGCTTGTTCGCGATCCTCGTCTCACCACAAAGTCCCATGATCAAAGGATCATTACACATACAATTAATGAGTAATCTCAGTGAATCAGGATACACTTTTGTATCAGCGTCAACCATAAGAACGATTTCAAAGAAATCAGGTGTCACGCCCATTAGGTAGTGAACCTTTCCGAATAAATCATAATCCAAAGGTGACATACGATCGTTGTAAGTAACACGACTAAAGAAGTTCATCAATATCAATTGAGAGTCACGCTTTCCACGATTTCCGGGTTTTGGTTTACCTTGTTCTTCAGGACCACCACATTTCACAACACATACCATTGGGACGCGGCGATCTTTCCAAGGGAAGTAACCGGCATAAACTTTAGCCATATTGAGTTGTTTAGATCCGGAAGCGACGGCTATGTAACCTTGTGGTTGTGGATCTTTGAATTCTGGTGGAATTTCCATGAGATCAATGCAGATATCAGGAGTGCTCTTATCATTACCATGACCGGTGATTATACCATCACAAATCAAGAACAACATTTTACGATCATCTGGGTAATCGGTAGCGGCCATTGATTCACAAGTACAACGTAAACCAGCTTCATCTTCTGAATAACAAGTAACAAGCAACACGGTATATAAATCATTTCCTACATCATCCATGCTCATGACTTTGGTCATATCACCACCCATACCGTTATTATTATGATTACTCCATGATGATGCGACTTGTGATACGACGGGAGATTTTTTATCAGATTTTGGTTTGAGAGCAAGTCGATGTGAAATGAACCAATTGAAAATGCAAGCCATGGCAAATCTTGACATAACTATTCCAAGAATGACGGTCAAAGAAACATACAAGAAAAGTTGGGAAGTAAAGCAACCGATGGTTTCTTTATCGATATTTCCAGCATAAAATTTCTCAACCAAGCAATTAACGGCAGCTTTTGTTTCTGGTCTACCAAAGAATAGACGAGTTCCGTCTTTACCTCCTTCACGATGATCCGTTTTTAATACTGTGCGAATAGTTTTATCTAAGACATCACCCTGTATATCATCTGGAAATCTTTTAAGATAAGGATTGAGATTTAAAACGTTCCCATCTATAACTAAATAATTTTCTAAACGATTATTTGCGAGTTGAGACCAATCAAAACCAACTTTTGTTGAAGTATTTACAATTCTCATATCATCTAAATTTGCAGGTGTGATAAATACATTATTAAGAGGGCATTCGTTATTATCACATACTTCAAAACTAACAGCATTAAATTGTTGAATATTAGGATTATCTAGACAGGATGGAGCTTGTTTGTTTGTCCTTGTGAATAATACAGAAATATCTTGACCATTTTGTTCTCCCGCAAGTTTTTGAAAATCCAAACCAGGTCGTGATAAACCATTTGTAACATCAAATTGCCATCCGTTAATTCCAAGATGACCGGGAGCTTCACCGAAACGTTTAAATTTAAAAGGATTGTCAGATTGGGAAGGAGGACAGAGTACGACCGAGAAACCTACAGTCATAAAAGCAACCATTCCACCCATAATAACAGCGATAAAACATAAAGCTATTTTTTCACGCCATGCTTGACGTGATTGTTTATCATTGAGACCGATCGATGATAATAAGGCACCCGGTGCCCAAAATGTGACAACTTTTGAGAAGATTACCCAAACATCACAAGAATTATCTTTATTACCCGTTAAAAGAGGAGTTGCAGGTTGGTAACGTTCAGGTCTATTTAAAGTTTTTCCTCGCCTTAACGCACTCAGTGGTCTATTATTTTGAAACCCACTTTCCATCTGTTTAATTATTCTATTATGATAGTAGCTTTTGAATTTGTAATTTATTTATTTATGTTTTGGGTAGAAGAAAAAAAAAATTATTTTATTTTTTTTTTTCCTTTTGAGAGAAAAAATATCTAGTGGTAAAATACGGATGGTAATGGTAGATAATTTTTATTGGGAAAGGGAATAGTGTATATAGTAATGTAGAAATCAATTCTACAAAACTATATAATTGAATCTATTAAGATAACGAGTGAAAGTGAAAAAATGATTACGAGGGGAGAAGGGGGAGTTGTATCAACAGTAGTAGACTTGCTCAAATTTTATAATGGTTTTATAGTAATCAACACAATAATATAATATAAATAATAAATTAATTAGGTTCATCAAACCCGTTTTACAAAATTCCACATTTGTATGGCAAAAATATAAATTAGGTTTATTTCTTGCCCTTCAATTTGTTGTTATAAGGTGAAGTACATAATTCGTGCACAACATTTTTGGACTTACTTTTTTTACATAGGCATAATATAAATAATATAAATGTACAATAAGACTTCATCTAATCGTGCACAATATAATTATAGAACCGCAAACGTGACACACGTTAATATTATTAATAACTCTGAAACCTCGCCGTCTCTTTGAATTTTTATTGTTGCATGCTCAACGAATGAATTTGAGAGAAATAAAGAATGGGCGAAAGCATCATCCGTTCGTACAACTCTGTTTTTTTTTAAAAAAAACAAATAAATTTTCACGGGCGATTTGCATTCTTCTAATTTCATTTTTTTTTTCGCTGAATAAGCACAAGAATGTTTATTTATATGTTTTACGTTTCGATGGTGAAACATGTACGTACTTATATGTACATATATTTTAATTAATTATCATTGATTCCGCTGATAAGTTTTCATTTAAAAATCATTTTGAGAACTTTCGTTCGGTCAATAATCCAGCATACAGAAAAAGCAAATTGCACTAGCCCAGAATTAACATAATATGTAATACAAAAAAAATATTTGTGTCAAATAAAGGGAATTTGATATCCTAAAAAAAAAAAATTCTTTATAGATGGTTCCATTTGTTTATTTTATTGTTCAAATATACCTTTGTTGTTAATATCCAGTATAAAATCGTCATGTTGTATTTTTCTGAAAAGGCGAACAGTTACTTCGGCCGCTTAAAGTTGTTGTAGTCACATGACTTTACTTTTATACATAATTGTGACGTAGACATGCCATTTGAATTCCGCCACAAGATCGGAATAATGCATTATTTTGCTAAATATATCGTCTCCCGTATATCTAACGATTAGGAATCGGAGATTTTTCTTTTGACTTATTATCGAAATATTCTAATCTACAGAAGATAAGAAAATTAATAAAAGGATTTAATAACGCGTAGATGTGAATTTCATCAAATTGAGATCTTTATTGTTTGGTAATTATTAGATAAAATGCGATGTGCTAAGTGGGGAAATTCTAAAATACAATAGATCAACAATAATAAATTAAAAAGCGGCTTTATAATAAATAAACTGGACGTCTGAAAAATTTTGAGGTAAAATTCTCCATTTGTGGGAGTAAATTGATTTTTTCACATTAAATTTCACGAGGGTGTTTATCATCATCCATTAGAAATTTAGGATTCAAATAATTGGGGTCTTTGCAATAGAAAGGGGGGAAACTGCCAGAAAAAATCAATTTTACTTTATATGTCAAATATGATTTTTAGGCTGAAATATGTTCAAATTTAGCATTAACTCATTTTTTAATTTTCCGGCAGTTTCCCCCCTTTCTATTGCAAAGGCCCTAATTGATGATTAGGGTCCCTGCGCCATTAGGCCACAAATGAAAATTTCAAACAAAGCGTTGATCAAAAATAAAAGTTTGTTTATTTAATATTTATTTAATATTTATAATTCATTAATAAACGGTTAATGGAGATGAATCGAATAAAATCCGGATTTATAATCATCCGTGCCTTGTGCAACTTGTTCTAAAAGATCCGATGATATTATGCATCCAAAATTGTGTCTATGAAAATAAAATATAAAATATAAATATAATAAATATATCTAAAATCAACCTTACTATTCTTTATGATTATGACAGCATATGAGAAAAGGAAAAAAACTAATACTTGTTTACGCAAAGAAACTTCTTGAAACCAATATCTAGGATGCATATTCTGCCGGTATCGGGCATGTGTACATTTACATCTTAAATCGAATATTTGTTAATTGTATCATCAAAAGATTTAATTTATTTTTTGCTTTTTTATTGGTTCAATAAATGTCGATTGAGTTACAATATTTTTCCTTATCAAACCAAAGTTTTTATTAGATTTTTCGTAAATTTATAATATAATAGATCATAAATATTTTAAAGCTTAAATCTATAGATAAAAATTTTAATTTATTAATTAAGAAAATATTTATTTATCTTTATTAACTATCTCAAGTATTAAAATTTAAATAGTATTACTGAATTTATTTCATGATTTTGTAATAAATTTATAAAATAATAAATTATGTTGAAAATTTAATGTAATTCTATATAAGCATCATTTTATATGTTCTAATATCCCAAATTATTTATTCATAAAAATATTTGAAATACTTTTTAATCTTTTTATGATTTATTATATTTGATTTTTATTTTAATTAATAAAACTAAATAATACAATAATACTGATAATTTCTTTTATAAAATAACAAGATTTACAAGTAAAAATAAAATATGCAATTAAATAAAAAAATATTTAAATTAAAAGTGTTACTTATAATAATAATACTAACAAATAGTTATTATTGATTAAAAATCAATTAAAGTTCTTATTTGAAACCTTTGCAATAAATAGAAAGGAGAAAAACTGCTAAGAAAAAATAAAAAGTAAGTTAATGCTAAAATTAAACATATTTCAGCCTAAAAACATAAAAAAAAAAAAAAGTAAAATTGAATTTTCCTATTCATTTAATTAACTGATTATTTGATTATTTAATAAAATGTTTGATTACTTTAACTTTTTAAATTATTTATAAATTTATAAAATCTCAATTTAGATTGCAATTAATAAAATTTATAAATAAGAATTAAATATTATAATATATACTTAATTGTAATTTAAATAATAATATAAATTAAGTAGTAATTAATTATAAAACAATATTTAGTATTATAGATAAAAAATATTTTTATAATAAATACTTTATATTAAATTATTATTATACAATAATTCTATAAATTAAAATTTTAAAAATTTTAATAATTTTAATAATTCTGATCAAGTATTTTTTTAAAATATTTAAATAGATTAAAAGCTAATTATCAAATAAACTAAAAATTAATTAAATATTCTTAAAACTTATTAATTAATTAATAAATTTATTTATAATCATAATTATATTTTTAATTATAAATATTTTATTTTATAGTAAATTCAATTTAAAACTTATTTAACTTATTTAATTTATTTAATAATTTTATGATTTTATATATTATAATTCTTAAAATAATATAAATAATAATATTAAAACCAGTCAAAATAAAATATTTAACTAATATTAAATAATTATTATTATTTTTACAAATGTTTATAGATATAAGAATAAATTTATTATATAAAAAAAAATAAAAAAAAATTATATATATATAAAATTTAAAATAAATTTAGTAATTAAGTTTAATATTAAGAATTAGTTTAATATGTTTTTAAATAAATAAATATTTATAGATATATATTTAATAGCTTTAATTAAATAATTATAGTAAATATATAAATTATAATAATAATGATATTAATATACAAAAAATTATAAATTTAATAATAATATAATAAATGTAAATATAAATAATTATTTACATTTATATAAATATAATATTTAAATTTAAACTTATTTTATTCAAAAAAATTTATTTAATCATAAAATAATTTTTTTTTTAATTTTTTTATTTTCTTTTAAAATATCTATTTATATATTATTAAAAAATTTATGTTAAAATATATAAATAACTAAAAATAGTTAATTAATAAAAATCAAAAAAATCATTATATAAATATTATAAATTCATTGAATTATTTATTATAATATTTAATTTTAATATTATGACGATCAGACTCTTCCAAATTAAATTATTCTCTAATGACGATTTGTCATTTCATCATATATTCTCACGTAGAGATATTAACAAAACCACTGTGAAATTTTTCTCTAAAAAAAAAAAGGAAAGGGGAAGAGCCTTTGTTTGCAGAAGGTTTGGTCGTTCCGTCGCGATCTGTTAGACGTTTTTGGTCGATATATTTCTTTTTACAGCAATATTCTCCTCAAAGGATGGGAAGTAAGTAGATTATTACTTTAGCAATGAGCATTTTATGACTTCAAGTTATGATTGCAACTGTTTGCTATTTTGATTTCATTTATTGTAAAGAAACTTTTACTTATTTAAAGCTATTAATAATAGTTATAATGAATTGGAAATTGAACTATGTTCATTAAACCAAGAAAACTGTTGATTTCTGGTCTAGCTTCAAAATTATTAATGCTTTGATTGATGAGAAAAAAGGATCCTGATCGACTACACTCTTCAAGAGTCTCCATGATATTATTAGTAAAGGTTCGAATACAAGAAAAAAAATCGGGAAGGCAAACAACCTTTTAAGTGCCCTTTAGGTTTAGTTTTTTTTTTTTTTTTTTTTCTTATTACTGACTTTTCGTCCATAATCGAACGCACGACTTGTCACATGAAATTTCGTCGTCCACGATTTTTATAATGGCTTTTCGTATGTCTTACTCGTCCACGGATTTATATCGATTATACGACTACTTGTCATCCAACATTTTTGTCGTCTACGACCACGGACTTATATCGATCACACGATTCGTCATCATGAAATTTCGTACGACGTTTCGTCCTACGATTTTTTATCTTGGCTTTTCGTATGACTTATTCGTCCACGGACTATATCGATCTCACGACATCTTGTCATACAACATTTTGTCGTCTACGACTGAAACGTCCACGGACTTATTCGATCACACGATTCGTCATCATGAAATTTCGTCCGACGTTTCGTCCTTGACATTTCGCCGTTCACGATTTTTTATCTTGGCTTTTCGTATGACTTATTCGTCCACGGACTATATCGATCTCACGACATCTTGTCATACAA